CTGTAAGTTTGCGGTAACTTGGGGTCGCCGGACTTGAAGATGACCGTGGTCATTGTTTTTTTCTACTGTTCTGGTGGTGGTTGGTCTGGCCTGATGATGTCACTGTAGAGCTGTGGTAAGTGTCGCTCAAGGACTGCTCCGCCTGCCTGTAGTAGTTATGCTGTGATCCCCATGGCGTCGCTGCATTTGCCGCCCTTTAGTTGTTTGGTGGCGCGTCGCATTTCGTTTGCAGTGAACGGTGGTATGTCGGATGCTGTTGTCGTTGCTCCATGTGCGTTCCTTTTACCCGTCGTCTCTGGATCTCGGCACAGCTGTTCATAAATGTCCGCAAATATGTTCGCGATGTCCTGCCTGTTGGTGGCCTCACTTCCAATTTCGGTCATCGGCACAATCATGCATTTCCGTTTTGATGTTTCCAACCCAGCAATCTTGCGTAAGTTCTTGAACTGGCAGACGATCACCTCCAGCTTGGCACGCGCGCGCTGCGGATGAGTCGGAGCTGTTTCGAGATCAGCTTGCTGAGCGTAGTCCGCGTGATATTGTCTTGGCGCGGCGCGTTGCGCCGCTGCTCGATGAGCTCTCGTAGTTTCTCGTCTGAGGCAAGATGGCATTTGCGTTCCTGGCGTTGTAGAGCTGCGTCTCGGCGCGCGTCGCAGTCCCTGCGCGCTTGCACAAGAGCGTCGCCGATGCTGTTGCACCTGTCGTCAATGCTAGTGGCGCCGTCGTCGTCGACGAGCGTCTGCTGCAAACACTGCTGGTAGAGAGGGTCGGCTGCGGGCGGGCGCGACGGCCGATGGTCGACTCTACGTTTGTTATTATCCCGCTTCCTCCCGGCACTGGCATCGAGGAAAATCTTCATGCATGCAGCTTGGCGGTCGGAGCCGAGATCTGGAGCGGCGGTCGCATATGAATATATGACTTGGTTGCGGCGCGCTTTATCTACGAGTATGTAATCGATCAGCGACTGGGCCGGGGTACCACCATTGCTTGTATACGCGAAGATGTTGCGGTGATGTTTGTAGATAAGGGTGTTTGTGATGAGCACGCGCCGTGCGCTTTCCCATGTCCTGAGCCATGTCCCGCGAGCGCTGCACCTCCCCATTCCATGCATTCCCGCGGTCGACCTCCGAATTGCTCCAACGTCGAGCTCGTCATCCGCGTCGATGGGCCGCGCGCCGACCTGCGCGTTGAAGCCCCCAGCGATGACTGCGATGCGCTTCTGGCAGGCAGCTTCGTCTTGCATCGCAGCCAAAATGTCGCGCATCTGCTGGGCGCGGGCGTCGGGGCATCCAGAGCGTGGGAAATACGCCGCTGCAACTCGCACCATGGAGGTGGAAATGTCAAGACCGGCGCAAGCGATGCGCTCGTCTATCCGCGCGAAATTCTCGACGCCACGCAAGTGCCAACGGCGGATCGGGACAGCGGCACCTCACGACGCCGCGCCATGACCAGCTGCTGCAAACACATGGGGCCCCAGCTTGGCTGTCCACACGTCGCGAGCTGCGGTTCTCCAAGTTTCACTCATGGCCACAATGTCCCATGCCACCTCTGCAAATTCACAGATGCAATGCGTCAATGGAGTCGTCTGTAGCAAGGCTTCTCGCGTTTTTGTGGACGACGGTCAAGGGGACGCGGCCGCAGTCAATGTTGCAGTCGCCCACATCCTGCCCAAAAAAGCACGGTTGTCGCTGCTGCCGCTTCCGCGCGGGGCGCGGCTTCATGCTGATTGGGACGTCGCCGTCGACGTTGTTGTAGAATCCTTGTCCTCCTCCTATGCTCTCTGGACGCTGGGGGTGGGATGCGTTGAGGTGGATGTAATCGGTCTGGTGGCGTTGGTCGGAAGTCGGGGTGTCGAGTTGGCGAGCATTGGAGGTCGATCGGTGGAGGCGTAGCCGGAAAGCTGGATTCTGGAATTTGCATGTCGGCATGCTGCGATGGAGACTGAACGTCGGAATTCTGCGCCGGCGAGCGCTGGAGGCGGAAGCTGGAGGCGGAGGTGGAAAGTCGGATGCTGGAGACTGGAGGTCAGAGCGTTGAACTGATGCAGGCTCGAAGTCGATACGTGGAGGCGCAAAGTCTGCTGCTTGAGAGTGGGGGTCGGAGCGCTGCGCTGCTGGAGGCAGGAAGTTTACGGGTTGCGGTGGGGGCGAAGAGTCAGGGGCCGAAGAACTGACGTCGGAATGCTTACTTGGTGGACACTGTAGGTCGAAAGGTAAAGATGAAAGTGGATCGGTGGCTTCTGGGGGCTGAAGGTCGACTGGTGGAGGTGGCGGAAGCTGGAGGTCGATAGGTGGAGGTGCCAAGTCTGCTGCTTGAGAGTGGAGGTCGGAGCGCTGCGCTGCTGGAGGCTGGGGGCCCACCGGCCGCGGTGGAAGTGAAGACTCCAATGCCGAAGATCCGAGGTCGGAATACTGACTAGGCGAACGCTGGAGGTCGAAAGGTAGAGGTGGAGGTGGATTGGTGGCTGCTGGAGGCTGAGGGTCGTTAGGCGGCGGTGGTGGAAGCTGGAGGTCGATAGGTGGAAGCGCGAAGTCTGCTGCTTGAGACTGGAGGTCGGAGCGCTGCGCTGCTGGAGGCTGGGGGCCCACCGGCTGCGGTGGAGGTGAAGACTCGAATGCCGAAGAACTGAAGTCGGAATACTGACTTGGCGAACACTGGAAGTCGACAGGTAGAGGTGGTGGAGGTGGATAGGTGGCTGCTGGAGGCCGTGGGTCGATAGGCGACGGTGGTGGAGGCTGGAGGTCGATAGGTGGAGGTGCAAAGTCGGCTGCTTGAGACTGAGGTCGGAGTGCTGCGCTGCTGGAGGCTGGTGGCTGAAGGTCGATAGGCGGAGGTGGTGGAAACTGGAGGTCGATAAGTGGAGGTGCAGAGTCTGCTGCTTGAGAGTGGACGTTGTAGTGCTGTGCTGCTGACGGCTGGAGGTCCATCGGTAGCGGTGAAGGTAAAGCTCGGGAGTCGAATGTCGAAAAACTGAAGTCGGAGCACTGAGCTGGTGGATGCTGGAGCTCGGAGGGTAGAAGTGGAGGCAGAAAATCGCATGTTGGAGGCCGGAGCTCGATGGGTGGAGGCGGAGGTGAAAGCTTTGATGCTAGAGGTTGGTTGGACGTCGGAATGCTGACCCGGAGTCGAAGAAGTCGAAGTCGGGGTAGCCTGTGCACACGCAGGCGAAACGACGAATTTACCGTCAACGATGGGGGAACACCGTGCTGAATAAGGTGATAATACATCCGCTGTGCGCTGCTCGAGGGTAGCTATGCCCATGCCCGCGTACGCAATACTATCCAAAACTGCGGGTGTTGGTAACTCGGGATGCTCGGACTGGAGTTCTGGAGCGGGAAATTGGGTGCTGGGCACGAGAGATCTGCTAGAGCGAACTGAAAGTGAAGACTCGGGTCGGACAACTGAGTCTGAGCATACATACGGGCGCTTGTACTCCGCAACGGCGGAAGTGCCGGTGGCTTTGCCCATAATGCCCGCACCCCGGCATCCAGAATACATAACGCGTGTTCATGTGGTTCGGGCACTGTCGGTGGTTGCAAGTGCTCGCCGTAGGCCCCAGGCGGACCTTTTGGACTGCCCTTGTCCGCCGCCTTTCAGATTCCTCGAAGCACGCTCGATGATCCCGTCGCACGTCTTCGCCAGCTCAACTGATTGCTCGTTGGTGTGTAATTCTCCCCATTCGGCCCAATCTCTTCTAGTCCATGTGCGTATGACCGTCTTCCCGTCGATCGTCACGCTCAGGGCCAATTGCCCGCCGACTGTGACCGTATGTTGCTGTTCCGTGTTATCAACGCGGATGGGGCGTTCGAGACCCATGGTGCTCTTTAGCAGATAATCGGCGCCAAAACAGTAGTTGCGTGCTGCATGGACGAAAGGCGGGCGGTCGTTCGTAGCCCAAGTATGTTGTCCGTTCCTGCTGATATTGGCACTCCGAAGCTGTCCAACCACAAAGTTTGGATCGTCAGAGTTCAATAACCCCATGAAAAGCATATTGTTGAGCTCCCCCTTGCTGTAGGTGTTTGTTGTCACTGGCGCGCCGAGACGTTGAGGTTTTTGTTGGATCCAACTGGCTTGCGGCCTCCATGATGACGAAATCGCCAAGGTTACCGATGACGGCCGCAATGCTCCTCTTATCTGAAATGCTGTTGGTGCCGTGGGTTCCAGGTCGGTGTGGGCGTGCTGGTGTAGATCGCTGCTGCTTCATCGTTTGGATGTCCATCTCTAACTGCAGTAGTTTGGCGTTGGTAGTAGAACCCACTGTCGCTGCAGATTTTGCTGATTTCGGTCGGGATGATGTTTCCAAAACCGTTACGCGCTTGGTGATGTCGTCGATGTCTTCCCTTAGAGGGGCCACTGCGGTGTCCAA